CCTTCCGATAAAAAATCAAAAATATCTTGTAATATAGCATCCTCATGCTGGATTCTTGCAACATTACGTAATTTTGGCAAATCAATACGATCAATTGCACCTATTTCCATGTATGACTCATATATAATATTCTGTTCATTAGATTCCCGAAAAGCTGCACAAATTTGAACTATTTTAGAATCTTCCGCACGTTTAGAGCCTATACGACTACAATAGTCTGCCAAACCATTATCAACTCCCTTACAATGCGATTTAATAAATGAATATTCCTGCAAAATCAGGGACCAACGAATGATGCGCGAACTCTAATACGATGTTTTTAACAAAAATGTCAATGCCTTATGGTCGGTGTAAATTTGAAAAGTTGAGCCCAGCAAATATGCTCTTAACCGAACCACGGTAAAAACTATTGCTAATAGTTCTAGTTCTGTTGCGGAGCAATTTGCCTCATAACTAGTAAGACAGCGACTAATAAGAGCTATAATCATTTCCTCACCCGAATCATCAACCTGACAAAACACCGCGCTAATACCACTTTTCGATGCATCAGTGCGCAAAATAAAAGATCTATCATTCAAATAATGTCTCAGCATTATGCATTCCGCAAATTTATCTTTTTTTTAAACTGCTCGCTATGTTCTTTTGTCCACTTGAAATCAGATTTGGAACTACGAATCTGTCGAAAACCAGCTAATAAATTTGCACATTTTGACTGAAATCGACGATAATAGCCACAAACCCCGATGAAACTTTGCAATTCCCGTCTAGATTTCGGTTCAGTAATATCTTGAATGGCCTTGATCTTACAGGGGATCCGGTCTAACCCCACTCGTGCCTAGTATAAAACCCAGAAAAGGGATTTTCTTTCTAGCGAACAAAGTCTTATCCAATCTGAGAGTTAACCCACATTCCCCACAAACGAGAAAATATTTTACTTAGATGCATTATATGATCACCGAAGCATTTTAAGGCGACAACGAGATCATCTGTAGATCGTCATTCGTCAAAAATTGTTCAAATTCAGATCCAAAAACCTGACTCAACGCACGAACAAATATGCCTCCTGCAATCTTTACTCCGAACGGCAATCGACAGAATTGATAACACCGACCCTCTACTACAAATGCAACGAACGGTCGCGATTCCTTGGCCAATAAATAGTATCTGGTAATAACCCAAGGTGAAATCTGAACTAGTGAAAAATGTAGTTCCTGCATATTTTTGTAATAATTGTTCCACTGATGGTGGGCCCTCGAGATCAATATCTATATATTGATTAAATTTTCGTGCGTCTAGACAAAGTCTAACACTGTCATCTTTTTCCAATACAACCCTAATCGGATTACAATGTCGACTATTGGAGCGCTCGATTACCTTTAGTGCCTCTAATCTATTTAATTCTCTTAAAACTTGATCGGAATCGTGTAAGACATTCAAATATAAGGATGATCAGAAGTCAATTTAAAAACATGTTCATATTCCTGCAAACAACCCGGATTGTCACTAAAAACGTCTCGATACTCCACCACGAGAACACTCAGGCAGCGGTAAACGACGGAAAATCTAGTTTGGAAATGTGTCACAAACGTTTTGGTCCCCTAAATGAACAAGATTTGAAGAAGATGACTGATAATTTGTCGAATTGCAATGTTTGTTCCTTTTCCGAAAAATGCCGATCGCTCTACAAAACCACCTAAAATCATTCACACCGATGTATGCGGACCGATAAGGGTGGAATCGCTAGGATAATAAAAATACTTCATTGTTTTTATCGATGATTGCACAAGATGGTGCGAAATACGATTCATCAAAGAAAAGTCCGATGTACTGGAAGCTTTCAAACAGTACAAATCTCTGATGGAAAATCAATTTAACGTGTCTATCAAATGTGTGCAGTCAGACAATGGAAAGGAGTACTGTAACAATGAATTTAACAATTTCTTGGATCAGTCTGGAATAAAACCAAGATTGACGGCTCCACACACACCCGAACAAAGTGGGATTGCCGAAAGGCGAAATCGAACTTTAGTTGAGATGGCTAGGTGTATGCTGCTCGAATCGAATCTGCCGCCGACGTTTTGGGGAGAAGCTATCGCCACAGCGAATTACGTCAGGGTCAGGAGCCCATCAAGGAGTGTAAATGGAAATACCCCATACGAAATTCTATTTGGATCAAAGACTAACATTTCGTACTTCAAGGTCTTTGGAAGTCATATGTGTTAAACAAAGATCCCACGAAGGGGAAGTTTGAACCCCGATCCATCGAATGTACATTTGTGGATTACTCAGAAAAATCGAAAGCCTACAGATTCTGGATTTCGGAAAAACGAAAAATAATCACGACTCGTGATGTAAAATTTTTGGATGAACTCGAAAAATCAAGCAACCGAAAACATCAAACTAAAACTTCACGGACAGGAGACGAACGAAAACGAAGGAAATCGAGATCGAATATCCCATTAACAACATCAATAACGAAGATGATGAATTTCTCTCAATTTCATCTAAAGAAGAACTTGATAAAATCGAAGAAGAAGCTGGAGAGGAAATCGAAGAAGAGATTTTACCTGAAGGGTAAGAAGTCCAACAACCTGAAGGTCAATGACGTCGTGGTAGTGGTAGACCAAGTCTAAGTCAGCTGATTGGCTACTTGCTGTAGGCGACGAAATTTAATCCTTAATCAACGACACCTGGGAACTCGTTGATAAACCTCAGGGTAAGAATGTTATTAGCTCTCGAATAGTGCTCAGGAACAAATATAAACCGGATAGAAACTTGGAACGACGAAAAGCACGGCTCGTGGCGAGAGGCTTTTCGCAGCAGCCTGAAATCGATTTCCACGAATCGTTCGCTCCGGTAGCGGCTTTTAGTTCATTCAGGATATTAACAGCTTTTGCGATTGAGAACAATATGATAATCCACCAATTTGACATCATCACTGCGTACTTGAACGGGATAATTGAGGAAGAAATTTTTATGAAATTGCCTGACATGTATGAGGAGATTTTACTTCGAATGATCAAGAAGATGCAACTGGATAAGGATCAATGCGATAAAAATTTGCACACAAAGGCTGTCAACTTACTGAAGAATCTTAAAAAAGAAAATCAATTTTACCTGTTGAAGAAGGGATTATCCGTTTTGCGACAAGCAGGACGACAATGGCACGAAAAATTAAACAAGGAACTTCGCAAACTAGGATGGAAGCCTCTAAATGCAGTTTCATACATTTACATGGCAAAACGTAATTCAGAGATTGTGATAGTAGAAACTTACGTAGACAATGTCATATTGATATCCAAAGGTCGAAAACGGATCGAAGAAATCACAAAATAAACTCGGACCGATATTGCGTTTGCTGTCAACTCTCTAAGTCAATACAATTGTTTTATGTTATACCAGAGAACATTGGATCGCCGCAAAAAGGATCTTGCGATACATAAAGGGTACTTTGGAATACGGAATTGTTTTTAGGAAAACAGGGATCGAACTACAAGGATTTTTTGATGCCGACTGTGGCTACGTGTTCACTTTTGCTGGACCTGCGATCAGTTTGGAGTCGCGAAAGCAACGTACCGTCGCACCCTCGAGTACTCAGGCTGAATATGTGGCCTTAACTGATGGAGCAAAGGAAGCAATTCATTTACGGAGATTTTTACAAGAAATCGGAGTCAACATGGGAGAACCAACCCCTATTTGGAACGATAACCAAGGAGCCCAATTGCTCGCACAGAATGCGGTATTCCATAACCGGACCAAACACATCAGTAATCGCTATCATTTCGTACGTGAGGTCTTGAGGAAAGGAATAATTAAAATCGTATACATCCCAACAGGCGAGATGATGGCAGATATTCTAACCAAGGGACTTGGAGGTTCTATGCATCTAGAACATATGAATCGAATGGGATTAAGTGTTTTGTGAATTTCGAATCAATACACGCATTTAAGGGGAACTGTTGAAACATTAAATATTCGAATCACCAGCGTGTTCATTTGAGACTTAAAGTAGTGGGGACAATTTAAATTCCGTGACTTGCACAGACAAAACTGTAGTCAACTCTCAGTCAATAGTCTTTTTTGAGATACACGGCGGAAGCCATTATTAGTGTACTTGTCTCTTATACTTTTTATTGTGCTAAATATATCATGATTCTTTAACTTAAGGGCATCCGGGAAATAATACTGGTTTCGTGATAGACGTCTCATTTAAAAAGAAAAGAATATTTTGAGTCGGGATTTTTTGGTAAATATAGAGAAATGCTCTGGGACCAGCGGTCCTCTCGGAATTTAGAGAAATTTTGATAAATAATTATTGAAAAAAATTGTTTAAATATACGGAAAAAAGGGGTTTTGAACGGTTCAGTATAGACGTCTCATTTTGAGAGGATAAAATATTTCGGGTTCATATTTGGAGGGGTGATAGAGGAAGACTCTCCGAGGAGCGGCCCTCTCCGTTTTAGCAATAATTTTGCGAGGAAACTATTTTATTAACGATTGAAAGTGGAGTAATTTGAGATTAATACATTTCCCTCAGTTCAACTCGCGACCACTTCCGAGAATTGGCGCCACCTCCTTGACCACTGACACATAGATCCACTTGTCTGTGTGCTCGCCGCCATATTGTCTCTCACTTTCGCCAAAAATCCAACTTTTGTAATTTCGTTTTTCAATATTTATTTCAAAAATTACTTGCAATTTTCGAGAATATTCTTTATCATCATGAATTCCCCTAATTATCATGATAAATCCGAACTAAATATCTCTAATTAATTAGGAGTGAGACGACACGCGGGAAAACACTTTTTGGGCTCGATTTTTCCCGGATGCCCTTAACAATCATTGTTTATTTTATGAGATTCTATCACCTATATAATTCGAAAGCAAAAAGTCAGTCACTAATTTAAATAAAAAAGTTAAAATCGAGATTAAAATTTTGACTGATTTAGAATTATAGAGAGAGTAGAAAATTATTAATAAAATATATTTTTCATTGACAGAGTAGAATGTTCCTGTGATGAAGAGTTTTACAATTGCCTATCAAGTCTCTGCTCACCACTTGCTTTAAGTATTGGAATAACTTACTTTGATATTTTAAGACCACAATGTTTTACACTTGATTATCCTTATTATGACTGCATTCAAGAAGAAAGGTACGTATTTCTCGAAACCATTATAATTATCATAAATTATTAATTCATTAATAGCTATTAAATATTTATTTATTATTATTAAATTTATAATTATTATCAAGCATTGCAATTTACAATTTACGAAAAATATTTAAATGACATATAACTTTACAAACCTGCAAAATATAAAAAATAAAAATTAATAAATTACGTTCAATTAAAAATATGTTTAAATTCAAACATATTTTTTGTTAAGCTACTTATTTTTTAATTAAAAAATGTTTTTCTCAGTGAAATTTTAAATTGCAAAATTAAATAAAATTTTATATATATGTACAGTACCGCTCAAAAGGATTTGCCCACCCTACGCCATGCAAGGGCATTACAAAAAGTTTTGTATCTTCAATAATAATAAAGATAAAATCTTAATCAAATATTTATTTTAAATCTTAAATATTTGACTTAAAATGCAAAAAAAAATTTAAAAAAATTTTTTTTTATTGTTTAATTGCTGAAAATAAAAAAAAAATTTCACTTTTTTTGAAAATTTAAAATTAATACAATTTTTGAAGAAATCATCACATTTAAAATCTACAAATGTCATTTGTTTATAAAAATAGCCTATTTTTTCAATTGTTGATAACTTGAGAACAATTGATTTTTGAAAAAAATTGTTAAGGGAAAAAATGTGCCTCTTTGTGCGTAGAATTAGAAAAAAAATATTTAAACATTGAAAAAAAATTTTTTTTTTTACATTTTTTCCTTCTGTATATATTTTTAAGACGAATAACATATACTTATCAATACATATCAATAAAATTGAATACAACATAAATTATCACTATTAAAAAGAACAGTTAATAATTACACTTTTTAAATATTTAAATAACATTAATTATAAAACATTTATTTGTTTATAAACAATTAAATCATTGTTGTTAAAAATAACATTCAATATAAAATCACGAAATTTAATATTCTTCCTAATAGAATTTAACACTTTTATTTTCATTAGTATTTGAATAGCTTTTAATGTGGAAACCGATATTGTTTATAAACAGCTTGAAGGTTTAGTTGTCTATTTTGTACATTATATTGTAATTAAAATATCAGTTTTATGAAAATTGTAGAAACTATCACATGCTTTATATTTCTATTTAATACGTAATCAGTTTGTAATATGTTATAATTATGTTTTAAAATAATAAATGATTGGTGTAAAAAAAAGTGGTAAAATACAGGAGTAAAATAATGTCTAAAAATTTGACTGTTAAAAAGCGCGTGAAAATTATTCTTCTTTATAAAAGTGGGAAGAGTTATCGTGAAATTTCTAAAGAATTAAAAATATCAAGACGTACCGTCGATTACAATGTGAAAAAGTTTTCGAAGTTTCATAGTGTTGAAAATAGATTTTTTAATCTTTCAAGACCAGGAATATCTACAAAAAGTGAGGATACATTTCTAGTGCGAACAAGCATTTTAAACAGACGTTTAACAGCACCGGAAATCACTTCTGAGGTTAATAAAGCTTTTAACAAAACATTAAGTGTGAGCACCGTAAAACGACGTCTTAATGAACGCGGAATTTTCGGAAGAATCGCAGTAAAGAAACCTTTATTAAAAGAAATTAATAGGAAAAAGCGACTGAAGTGGGCCAAACAGCATAAAAATTGGACTTTAGATGTTTGGAGAAAAGTTTTATGGAGCGATGAATCCAAGTTTGAAATTTTCGGTACCAAAAGAAGAGTATACGTTCGAAAAAAAGTAAATGAAAGATTTTCTAAAGATTGCATCGTCCCCACAGTTAAACATGGTGGAGGTTCTGTCATGGTGTGGGGATGTTTTGCGGGTTCAAAGGTTGGTGACATTAAAAAAATTGATAGAATTTAAAAAAAGAGGGTTATAAAACAATACTGCAAAAGAACGCTGTTACATCGGGAAAGAGGTTAATAGGTAAAGCAATACAAAATTACAACAAATGTACATAATACATTATATAGTATTTCTTAAAAAAATATTTTATTAAATTTATATCATAAGTTAATAAGTAAATATTAAAATTTTATAACGAAATATGAATGATTATTAAATATCCTTCTATAAATTAAAAGCTCATTTATTAGTTAATTTAATTTTTAATTTAATTTTTTATTTGAAATACATTTATAATTTGTTATAGGTAAAAATTTCATATTCCAACAGGACAACGACCCGAAACATACCTCAAAAATTTGCAAAAATTATTTAAATAACCTTGAAACCAAAAATGTACTGAAGGTCATGGAATGGCCACCGCAGTCACCGGATTTAAATCCCATTAAGATGCTATGGGAACATTTAGATCGAGCAGTGCGTAAATCTTGTCCTACTTCAACTCATAGTTTGTGGAGTATTTTACAAGAGGAATGGAAAAAAATTTCAAGCCAGACTTTAGAGAAACTTGTATCAAGAATGCCTCGAATTTGCCAGGCTTTAATTAAAACTAAAGGATATCATTTCGATGAAAAAAATATTTAATATTTTTACTCTCAAAATGTTTAAAAGTAAAATTTTTAACAACACTGATTTAATTGTTTATAAACAAATAAATGTTTTATAATTAATGTTATTTAAATATTTAAAAAGTGTAATTATTAACTGTTCTTTTTAACAGTGATAATTTATGTTGTATTAAATTTTATCGATATGTATTGATAAGTATATGTTATTCGTCTTAAAAATATATACAGTAGGAAAAAATGTAAAAAAAATTTTTTTTTCAATGTTTAAATATTTTTTTTCTAATTCTACGCACAAAGAGGCTCATTTTTTCCCTTAACAATTTTTTTCAAAAATCAATTGTTCTCAAGTTACCAACAATTGAAAAAATAGGCTATTTTTATAAACAAATGATCATATCTTTCTTAAAAATTATCGTAGAGGAATCTTCAAAAAATCGTTTGAAAGGTTACAAAAAATGCTTTCCAATGACATTTGTAGATTTTAAATGTGATGATTTCTTCAAAAATTGTATTAATTTGAAATTTTTCAAAAAAAGTGAAAATTTTTTTTTTATTTTCAGCAATTAAACAATAAAAAAATTTTTTTTTAAAATTTTTTTTTTGCATTATTTCAAGTCAAATACTTAAGGTTTAAAATAAATATTTGATTAAGATTTTATCTTTATTATTATTGAAGATACAAAACTTTTTGTAATGCCTTTGCATGGCGTAGGGTGGGCAAATCCTTTTGAGCGGCACTGTATATGTAATTTTACAGTGATTCAACATCATGGGAGACTTGTAACAGTTGCAAGATTGATAAGACAAAACCAAAAAAATGGCAATGGAGGGAAACAAAAAATTTCGCCAATTCTGAAACATCAAAAAAACTATTCACATGTTTTGAAGATGTTACTGCCGAAAAGTTAAAAATAACACAGGAAAAAATATCGAATTTCATTCAAGAAAACGGAGTCGAACCATTAATCAAAATGTGTTCTAATTTACCATTTGACTCGTGGTATAAAAAATTCTTATGTCCCAAAATTCTTCCCTTTTTTGTTTGATAATTAATTTATATACAAACTATTAAATTATAATAATGATGTATTTTTCTATTTATAGAAATCACAGAAAAAAAATATTAATTTTATCTCAGAAGCTAAAATTTTTTTGAATCAAATATAAAATTTGTGACGATAAAAAATAAATAAAATAATTATATATTTATCTTTTATTTAAATTTTAATTTTCATTTAAATAAACGATATAAATAAATATAAATTGTATGTAATTTTTTTTCTGTGTCACGTACTAAATAGTTCGTAAATTGTATAATCCTGTAGATATGTTATTTATTAATAAATAATTTATAACTATTATTATTATTATTATTATTATTATTATTATTATTATTATTATTTAAGAATAGGATTTTCAAGTTTTGTAAGTGTTTTTAATAAAGAAAAAATAAAAAATTTTATATATAAATTAACTACGAAAGTATCTCGAATTCTAATACAAAACCATCAAATTTTTCTATTTCTGACAATAATTTCTTTTAAAATAACTTCACTCTTGAAGAACGTACTATTATAAAATTATTACTTAGATGGGCTACATTGAACCAGCGTCAACAGTGAATCACTTTAATTTTCTGAAAAATGACTGAGTAAAATTTTTTTTTATTCAATATATAAGTTAGTTTTACCGCAACAGACAATGTCCAAAAATTTCCGGCACGTAGGTTTATTATTTACAAAGAAACAATAAAAAAACTATTTTTAACGTATAAAACAAAAAATTTTGTGGAAATATAATGAAGTTTTTTTATTGAAATAGAAAGTTTTGAAAATGAGTAAACTTTTGATTTATTTCGCTTAGGGTGTCAACTTCAATATTCCGATGTGATAAAGAATTTTAAGTCTTATACTTAAATTTATTATAAACAATTTTTGTTGCGAATGTCATGTAAATACAGTGAGTGCGGCATCATTGAACCACCCGAAAAAAAAGAATTTTCAATTTTAAGAGTTGTAAAGTTGTCTGCTCTACTAATTAGTAAGAAAAATACTAAAAGACATGCTTTCATAACAATTGTCAACAAGATAAACTTAAACTGTCACTTCTGCTATGAAATCTGACATTGAAATATATTAATATCCTATATTAACAAATAATAACTATTTAACAAGAATTTTCTATTTTTGTGAGTGGAAAATAAGAATTTTTACAATGTGTAAGTGGAAATATTATTTTCGAAGTAAGTTGTAGTGTTTTATTACACGGAAAAACTTTTTTCAAGAGTTATTTAGAAACTTATTCAAGAACTCAGGATATGGAAAAGAAACAAAAAATGCTACAAAACCGTAGATTGAAGTATTATTTTAAGCTGTTCGGGGATAACTGTAGTAAATTTCTGGACTACTTGTTGAATTTGCTTGAAAAAGTCTTGAACTGGTTTAAGAATTGAAAAATGTGAAATTAAAAAAAAAAACTTGCTCGCGTGAGTAGTCGAACTTGAGACCTCGAGATTTTAAGAAAGATCTCTCCACCTTATGCCACTCGGCTGTGGACGCGTTACGATATTATAGCTTTAGATCATATTTGAAGCGCTTAAAGCCATCAGGCGCTGTATACCTATTGGTTACTCTACGTCTTCTTTCTTAAATAATTCGAGACTTTTTCAGCGCGCAGTCACTGAAGTATTCAGTCGCAGCGTCAAGAACAATTATTTACAAGCCATTAGAAAAACACCTGAAAATTCTTTAATGAATATTGAACTTTTCTAAAAAAAGTTCTTTTTTTTCCATATCCTGAGTTCTTGAATAAGTTTCGTAATAACTCTTGAAAATAGTATATTGTGCACCTAGGGAGGAAAATAGTGATTTTCCCGAGGGTGAAGTTTGTAGTTCGAGACATAGCGAGCGTACGAGCCGAAGGCGAGTGCGAGCGAAGTCAATAAGAACTGCAAACTTCACCCTCGGGAAAATCACTATTTTCCTCCCTAGGTGCACATACTATTTTTTCTAACACACGTAAACGAAAGTACAAATCTGCAATTATTTAACGGAATTTTTTGAAATAAATACTATTAATTTTATAATGTTAATTTATTACTAGATTATTAGAAACAAATATTCACAATACTGATTATATTGAGATTAGAATGTTTGACAATTAAAAATAATTAATAATAATATATACATTTAACCACAATTATAATAATTATTATTGTTGTAATATTTATTTAAAATCCATTATTAATTAAAAAAACAATATGATATGTACATATTTAAGCTTAAAAAATATATAGCTCTTTTTATATTTTGCATTTATTAAAAAAAATTACAAATTATTATAGCAGCAGGAAGAAAATATTACTTTCTCTCCCCATGACATCCCACCCCGGGGAGGGAAAGTAACATTCTCTCCCTGCCTCCGGGAAAGACGTACTTTCCACCCTCTTTATAGGTGAGAAATGATGTACTTTCTGTGCGTGTGTTAGAAAAAAGTTTTTCCGTGTAGAGGTGGTTCAATGTAGATACAGATCCTTCAAAATAAGAAAAGTGTAACTGGTTAGAAAAAAATTAAATTTCATTATTTAATCATAATAATTTGTGCTTGTCACGTGTGTATTAACTAAAGGAATATTTCAGTTTTATTTTGATACAAAACCTGATCAAAATTTGTAAAATTTAATTAGTTCTTGGACTTTAGAAAAAACCCGGTTCAATGTAGCCTACTCTCCCCTATAGAAATTATTCAATAAATAATTTTACTGAAATATTTCTAAATTACTTGAACTTTAAATTTACAATATTCATAAATAGATAAACTCAATTCGCGCTGTATGAAAGTAACACCACCATATTTCCAACAATAGCTTGTTAGGTATAATGTCGTAATTTTTGTAAGGTACAGTAGCTGATCATTTTTTTGCAAGAGTTTCAATTGTCTTTGCACTTTTTGTGTACTAATGCCTCTTGTGCTCAACCGCAACAATTCACGAATTTGCGACACTTTTGGTCGAGAAGTTCATGCTAGTTGCATTAAAACATCCACCAGCTACTTCACATGTCCAAATTGTAACCATAACTGAAGTGAAACTTTTTTTTCTTTAATTTAAAATCATCAGTTTTTTCTCTTTTTGTTATTTTTCATCATTTCTAGTAGTTTTAATAAATGATTTTAATATCTACATAATGTTTTAGTAGAATACACCAATCCGCCACCATACCTTACAACTTTCGAAAATAAAAAAAATAAAAAAAAAAAAAATCTAAAAAAAATTTCACTGCATTTAAATTTTATCAACCGCTTCTGACAGAAATATGCTGAATAGATATCAGCAACTGCCTGCTTTTGAAATTTTTAAAAATATTGATTTGAGAGAGAGAGAGAGATGCAAAAAACAAAGTGTTCGCCACCATACCTTACACTCCCGTATTAAGTGCTAACAAATATCTAAAGAGTTTGAATTTAAAAATACTAATACTTTCTGCATTTGTTATTGAACTAGGAAGAGAGTTCCAAAATGTTACAGCAGTGACAATAAAAGAATTTCTATATTGTTCAGTTTTACAAACGCCTACAGAACGACTTGAAAATTAGGAGCACTCGCATTTACCTGGACCACCTGTCTAATGAGTTTTCTCGCCAGTGGAGAGGGAAACTGTAAAAAACCTCTCCTGAGTACAACCGGTTTATCGACAGTCGAGTTCTAATGGTGTGTACCGGACAATAATCGACGGTGCACATCATTATACCTCGACGTCAAACCTCCCGCTCAGATTATCTCACGTGCCGGAAAAATAAGCCAAATGGGCGCGAACCAAGTATCTTTGGTCCTAACACGTCCGCCAAGCGAGGCATCTATTCGACTGAGCACACAGAAAACCTTAACTCATTTTTGTTGCAACTCAAAATGAGCCCATGTTAAACGCCATATAACGTGGCGCCACCTACGAGGTTCATTTTTGTTGCGTTTCAAATTGAGTAGCATAGGCTACTCAATTCGAAACCATGTTTTTTCAGTGAGCTAATCTGTAGGTTTTTATAAAAGAATTCAATTATTTAAAAAAAAATGTTTATAAAATTATACGCAAATATTTAATTATTTTCATAAATAATAAAAATTTCACAAGAATTCAATTATTTACAAATTTTTTATAAACTTCTTAGCAATAATTCAATTATTTTCATAAATAATAACAATTTTAATCGAATTCCTCGAAAAATGTAATTATTCTTCAAAATTTAATTAACGTTCAACAAAAGAATTCAATTATTTAAAAATTTGGTGATAAAATTCTTTATAAGAATTTAATTTTAAGAAAAATTTAATTATTTAATAAATTATTTATTTTTATATTTAACTAATTGAATTCTCGTAGAATTTGCTAATAAAAATAATTGTAAAAATGATTTTTAGTTTAAATTTTGGATAATAATTGAATATTAAAAATTTAAAAGGATTAGAGTGCATGAATTTTTCGAAATAATTGAATAATTTAGAAAAGGTTTCAAATTAAAATCTTTGAAAATTTGCATTCTTCATACTTTTAACTGGCAATTCTGCACTGAGAGACCTTTGGGTCAGCAGCAGACTTTCGATAGGCTGCTACTGACCATTTTGGAGGAAAGCTACAGGACTATATTTTTGGGTTGCTGCGGTACATGAAGGAGTATAAGGAGAAGTATGTATATGTTTCCCTATTGACTGTACTTGACTGCGTAAAATCGCCATGCACGAAAATTGGCATACCGGAAATTTGTTCACTGATATTAGCGCCCCTACAGGAGAAAATATATACCCTCCATGCTGTCCATGATAAAAGTTTTGTTTACGTAGTTTTTTGGTTATGTACCAATAAGTTGATAATAACAATAAAATAATAGTTATATGAATTGTTTTATAAAAAATTGCATGTCTAGTTATAAAGCAAATAAAAATGCTTCTGAAAAAAGTGTTTTTTCAAAGCACCGAGAATGATAAGTTTATTTAATATACTATTTTGTAAGGGTAAAAGTTTTTATACTTTTACCAACAGACATTTATGAATTTAATGCAAAGAATTTTTGGTTGTTTATTTGAAGTCCTTTCTATTTATATAACGTATAAAACAATTTAATTCTGTTCATCTATTTTACAATACAACACTCAGAGGATCCTCTAACCTTA